TCGCAGCATGTCTGGGCCACCTGGGCCTCTAGAGCATGCCTCCCCTCCTCAAGTTCATCAAAACTGTAACTGCTCCTCATCCTCCTGCTCACAGTGCTTCTGGGCCAATTGGGCTTCTAGGGCATGACATCCTTCCTCCCAGCTACTGTAAGCAGCAACATCTTGCGGCCGCGTAATGCCGCCTCCACTGCCTCGGCCAATTGCTTCTGGCGGTCACGTTTCTGCTCACAACTGACCAACTGCTGGTCCTGGTCCTGCTGCTCATCCAGCTTACGGCGCTCCTGAGCCCCTCCCACTGCAGCCCCTCCCACGTGCTTCCTCACGGCTGAATAGAGCAGCCTCTCCCTGCTGCCTCTGATTGTTGTGCAGACAGCTGGGGTCACACTGTGGCTCAGAGAACACTCAATCACCAGTGAGAGGATAGCCAACATCGTCATCTCTGTCAGAGGACTGGTGGGCTGGCAGAAGTGCCTTGAGGACACACTACACAGATCTGGGACACTTTGGGAGGACAGGGCAGCACCTCACTCACTGCGGTGCCCTCTGCTTGTCTGCTGACTGCTCTGGCGCTGGGTTCTGGGTAGTAGTGTGCCCAGGGTCTTGTCTTCCTACAGCCCCAGCAGACGAGCCTTTTCTCCCGAGCAGTCCTTAAACTGAGAAGCACCACTGCTTCTCCAGTGCCACCACTTCTCTGCCACCTACAGGTCCCTCAAGTTGGAGCTGGCTTGCCAATGATGGTGAGAAGCTCCTGAGTCAGCAGCACCAGTGGGGCCACTTCTGGCATCCCACTTCTGACACCATCGTAGTACTTGGCAGGCCAAGGCATTTTGGTGGTGGAGAAAGGCGAGTAGTCTTGCTTATAGGGGAGAACAATGCCCGTTTATTAAATCCGTAAAAACACTAACACAGCCACTGAACAATCAGAGACCCACCACTATAATAACACTGCCCACTGTGTGGTCACCCTGACTACTCCAACACCACATGGTGGGTGCACACACACACACACACACACACACACACACTTTACAACAATTAACATTAGACAATTAGACAATAACGCACAATAGACACCAACTGTACACAACTATTGACATTGACAAGGACACTATTTACATGGCTTGTGTGCATGCCGGGTTATGGAAATGTTAACAGGCTCAACTATGTGGAGCCATCCCACCAGCACTACAATATCATTACAAGTCAGGGTCTCAGCATCTGTCTGCTGTGTCAATCTTGACCGATATTTGAATATATCTATATTCCAAGTTAGCTGCACCACTTAGACATACAGTAACTACTACAATAATGGGTGAAACTTTATTAATTGATACTCCATTGATCCCTGTGGGGAAATTCTCCTTATAGCTCCTCTAAATCACTCTTTGCAGGTGAAAGCAAGCTGACCATTAAGGGCAGCCACCTGCTGTTGCACCTACTGTAGGGAGGCTGGGCTCAAACCAGCAACCTACTGCACATTACAGGCACAGAGGCTTACCCCACTCAGCCACATTCTTCCCCTGGGGGCACCAATAATGTTGTATTACTCTATTACTTATATATGATTTAACCACAAACTAAGCCTTAGTTACATAGTGATCTCATGTTTGGTCATCATTAATGAAGCGTGACACCTCTTTATCTTAATAAATTACCATCTTTGTTACTATATCTGTTAGTTTTATAAAACTTTGTGAACTACTGAAGGAACTACTGAAGGACCAAATAATGAATAACACATGTGACATACTTATCTCATGTTTGTTCATCATTAATGAATCGGGACACATTTCATCCCAAGCAGTTACTATATTTCTTACTGTATCTGTTAATTCTGTAGTATCTTAAGTCATGAATAACACAAATGAAATACTGATCTTGTGTTTGTTCATCATTTGTGAACTACTGAAAGGACTGCTTAAGGAACTACAAAGGAACTACTGAAGGAACAAGTAATGAATAACACAAGTAAAATAGTGATCTCATGTTTGTTCATCATATTGAATCATGATGCATCTTTTATCTCAGGTAGCTACTATATTTGTTCATGATTTGTACTTCAGCAGTAATTGAAGTAACTACTAAGTATTTGTGAGCCCTCGTGAAGTGTTACCCAATAATGGAGGTAACTGCATGAGGCAATCAGCAATTTTCTGTAGAGGAGAACGAAGGATTTCGTCGGCTCATTCACCACTTATAACAGGTCTTAAAAATACCGGACTGCGACACATTCAACAGTTCATTGCTAAATCTGTCCAGCAGACCAACCTTTAATTTTCCAGAGAATAAATAAATGATATAATGCCAATCCGCTAATCTTTGCCAGTAAGCTTGGCAAGTATCATTAACCAGAAACTGAAATATGCCCCTTTTTATTAAGTGTAAACCACAAAATATTGCAGTAACTTGCAGACCGAGGCATTATGGTGGCGGTGTTCTGTCATAAAATCCTACCTATCGAGACGTGCTATCGAGCCTTTCTGCGCATCTACAGTTCCACCGTCTTGGGATTAGGGTTAGGTTTTAAGGGTTAGGTTTTGGTTTTTGGGGTTAGGGTTAGGTTTTAGGGGTTAGGGTAAGGGTTTTAGGGTGTTTTGGAGGGTTAGGGTTAGGGTAAAAGTTAGGGTTAGGGCTATCGACTAGCACTACAGTAGCATTTTTCGACAAGGCAGCATTAATCAACAGAACAGCGGCAAGAAACAAGGAGGATTTCTGCAGGGAATAACATATTGCTTTTATTACGGCCCTTTAAAAAACTAACACATGAACTTAAGCACTAACACCAAACACAACAAGGGAAACACAAGGAGGTCAGACACCATACTGTAAGGTACACACATGGTGGGAGATTTCTAAAACGTCAAGGACATGCGAGGATCAGACCGGCCATCTGACTAGTCGAGCTACTTTGTCGACAGGCAGAGTCGCTTCTGCGTCATGGAGAGACGAGATGCCCCCAAGCGGATACCGTAGTGCTAATCGATATAACCCTAACCCTAACCCTAATCCTTACCCTAACCCTAACCCCAAAACTGTGGAACTGCACAAGCTCAGAAAGGCTCAATAGCACCTCTCCATAGGCTTAACTCGTCAGAACACCGGCATGAGAGACACTCCACAATCAGGAACAAGTAATAACAGTAACTACAAACAAGAACACTACAAGGGGCTATTTACAATGTCCCAGCATGCTCAGCGCATCTCGCTGACAATAGAAGTATAAGAAGTAATTGTACATCTCAACCATAGCAGGCTGTGCGACTTGTCTGTCGTTATACTGCTGGGTCAGGTGTTCTTTTTTTTAATTTCAGGTGTTCTATCGACCAATGCTACATATGAAGACGTGCTACCGAGCCTTTCTGCGCGTGTGCACTTCCACCGTTTTGGGATTATTAGTATATTATTAAGTACAGCTTTATATGTTAACATTTTTTAAATGTTAATAATATTTTAATGATTAAAACACATAGATAAAGATGTCGTAATACAATGACAGTTATACCTTGAATCGACAGACTCGGCTATGGATTAGCGCTACGGTATTCTAACTCGACAAAGCAGCTCAACTCGTCGGAACACCGGCCGCTTAACAGTCTGCTCTTTGAACAGACGGACTGCCACAACGCCATGGAAGGAAGTGTTGGAAATATAAGCCTGTTTTTATGGGTATGGTCGAGGCTTTAGAATGTTTTTAAAGCTGTACTATAGTCATGATGCATTTTGTGCTGTGCTTTCATTTAAGGTCTTCTATTTAAAACTAAAATTAAAGATTAATTATGAAGTTAACTAATAACTGACAAAAAAGTATTAAAACAAAAACTAATTTAGAAAAATTACAATAAATTACCTTGACATTTACGCAAACCATATTTCAGTCATACTAGTGGCGCACTAGGTGGAGTCGGAGCCTGGTATAGACCTACGTGAAATACAGTTTATTTTGTCAATTCCTGACTCATTATGTACTATTCCTGAAATTTAAGAACACTCGGTTTTTCAACAAAAGTCAACATTATTCTCTGTTGATATAAATAGTGTAGCCTGCCTAGATTAGGCTGTCGTTTTCTGCGATTTATCTGACTTCAGCAAATAGATTCAAAGTAGTGCAAGAGCCCAGGAAGTGGCGACTACGAAGCCCACTGAAGCTGATCCCCGAGCGCAGGATCCTACTGCGGGAGCGCGCGAGCTACAGAGCCAGGAACGTGCGCCGCTCCAGTAAAACGCGCACATCGCGCTCATCTCGCGCTCCAGCTTGAAACAGTGCGGACAATAATTGCACCAATTAACAGCAATAGACTCGCAGTCGTGCAGTAGACATGATGACATTTATTTGTTAAACGCTAGAAAAGCTGAAAACGTTTGCGAAGTTCTGTGATTTATAGGTTTCATAATAATGCATAAACGTACGCAAAACATAGATATGCTGAGCAATAACACAACGAGGTGAATGTTGTGCTTGGGTGCCCTTGCCGTATTACACTACTCTCACATAGCGGTGACTTTGGCAGGCAGGGCAGATGTAGACCTATCACAGAGCGGGGGATCCCCATTCACTCTTTCCGTAAGAAATGCCCACATAAAATAAACATCTGCACTATCATTTTAGGAACATTTTATCTGTATAGTCACTTTCTTCAATTTTTGTAATTAATAAACGTTATAATGCATGTGTGATGGTAATAATTACAAAAATAACACAGTTCGGCTACGGCATTGATTGTTAGCATATTATTTTAACTGTGCCACCAGAAATTGGAACTGGCAGCACAGGGTGGCGAATTAATGATAAGCCGCCAAAACTTATTTCTACCGGGAAGAGGACTCGCCTAGGGACGGCAGCTTTTCGGGTGACTGGCTCCGGGAAAGCCAGGAGAACCGGCTTGTCTTGTTAAAAAAGTTTCCTCAAAACACTAATATTGGAGAAGTTCGCAGTTTTCAGATACAAACATAAATGTGCCGATACACACGTCAACAAGGATATATTTCAAAAAGCAGGTTACCTTGCGTAGCTCTCGGTCACTCGATCTGCGTCCCACTCGTCGTATAATGCGCCGCACAAATAAGACAAATCCGCGAACCCCGGCTCACTCCAGGGGGTCACTTTCTTATAGCGCCCTTCTTCTATTCACTCCAAAGGGGTCCCTGTGATATAGCGCCCTTCCTCACTTCAGGGGCGTCATTGTGATATAGCGCCCTTCTTCTGTTTCGCTTCTTGTTATTTGTCTAGCCGCTGCGCCTGTTCCCGGAGGCACCGAGAGCGCACCGGGGAGCTTTCGGCGCCGACTGGAGGCTCTCAGCTTCCAGCTGACGTCAGGGCGACTGGGCAGCTTGTGACGGACTGCCGCCTCCCTCAGACCGCGCCGAAGTCTGTCTCTGCCTGCGGCCGTACGTTTGTTTCAAGGAACCGCCAAGTCCCTGTAAATTAAACAACTGTCAATGGAAAAACCAACATGAGAACCGCTGAGACGCGATCCGCCGTTCAGACCGGCAGGCAGTCCGGAGAAAAGCGTCCGTTTTTACACACTCTTGTCTGGCTACAGTTAGCCCCCCCCCCCATCACCAGTCTATCTCTGTTGTAGCCTGTCACTGAATATAAACACCGAATCACTCATCTTTAACGACAAAACTGTTCCCTGTAAGACCTTTAAATATCAAAACTGCGTTTGTTGTCCCGTGGACATAATTAAATAAAGTTTGATTGAACTATAATGAAATCATAATCTACATGTATAATGCAGGGAAAAGTAACAGTTACACAAATGATATAGAGAAACAAGCCATGACTATGAAACCATAATAACGGTATGACTATGCGGGTAAATGTAGACGGCGTTTCTCCTGTTTTATCTAATAAATGCGCAGATCCTTAACAGCCAAAACTGGGCTGTTATACTTCAGGGCAAAGCCATAAGCCATTTAATTAGTTTTTATAAGCAATAATCTTCATTAAATAGTCATAAGCGCTGCCTATAATTAAGTCAGACACAGGAAACTACATTTATTGATAGGGAAAAAACACATCCCTAAAAGCAAATTCAAGATTATTTAGATAAAACAAATTATAATCTCTCGTAAACAGATGATGATTATAAACTAGGTTACTGGATCACAGCCCTAAAAAACCATCAGAAGTATGGATTAAATAATATAGCATTGATTTGTCTTGCATCAGGGGTGCTGTAGGGGTGCTGCAGGGGTGCTGCGGGAAATAACTTGATTGGTCTGGATTAGGGGGCCCCAATATGATATGCTTTCATGGGGCCCAAAATCTTTAGCAATGCCCATCTTGCAGAACCGGCAGGGAACTCCCCCTGTGATTTCCAAAGCCGAGGCACCTTATTCTGCCTGGCTTGCATGCTGCTGCATGGTGATGCATCGAAGCACGGCAAGCTGCGTGTGGCCTTGGACAGCACCGCAGCCACTCGCCCATGCGGCCATCACTCACACCGCGCTCCAGGGTGAACATAAGTACAGCTAATCATTGACAGCCTTTGGTTTATAGTGTCCGTGTGCGGTCGCTTATATGGTGCCTTTATTCATTATTTTGCATTACACTGTTGCAAAATAACATTCAGAAAAGTGATTTCCTTCAACATTTATAAAAATGGATGGAAACAGAATGACAAGAAGACGAACAAAGCACTGCATGATTGCAATATCCTGCCATTTCACATACCATACATTTTCCATCCATCCATCCATC